CAGGACCCGCAGCTTGCTGAGAGCCCCTAGCTCAGGCGGGATGTGGCCTGCAAGCGGACGGGGAAAACGGAAAGCTTAGCGGGACAAAAAAAACAAAGCCCCCGCTTTCTAGAATATCGGTCCCACAACTTTAGTGGACGCGTAGGCGTAGGCGAGTACGAAATTTCACAATTGCGGAACTCGCGGGACATCTTTTGCTACGCACCAAACGACTCTGCGTACGCCTACACGTTGGCGTCCACTCACGTGCATCAGCGAGATTCGTACACGGGACTCGCCGCAAAATCGGTCGTGGAACCGTCATGAAATCACATGTTGACTCACCGCTCAGCTGGTTACTGGAAAGTTCGAGCGTCTCCAGTGCTGAAAGTTGCCCAAGCTCCGATGGGATTGGGCCTGCAAGCGGACGGACGGAACGGAGTAGCTCAGCGGGACAAAATAAAACAACCCCCCGCTTTCTAGAACATTGGTCCAGTACAAAAGTTTCGTGGACGCGTAGTCCACGAAACTTCAGAACTAGCGGGATAACTTTTATGCCGCCAAGTACGTAGGCGGGACCGATGTTCTGGAAGTGCAGAAGTCGAAAGAACAAATGTTTTTTTTGATCTACTCANTTGTACGGAAAGCGCGGGGATTTTTCTTTAGTTGGCGGGACGGATCTTCAAGAAAGCGGGAGGTATCTTTTGCCTTTATCCTGTTAAACTTGCCTGCTTTGACTCGTTCATCTACAGGCCACATCCCGCGGCAGCTAGGAGATCTTGGCGCCCTCAAGACCCTCTCCCTCAGATATAACAAGCTAGAGGGTGAGTTGAGTAGATCAAAAAAAACATTTGTTCTTTCGACTTCTGCACTTCCAGAACATCGGTCCCGCCTACGTACTTGGCGGCATAAAAGTTATCCCGCTAGTTCTGAAGTTTCGTGGACGCGTAGGCGTACGCGTCCATTCACTGGTGCAGAGGCCGGGCCATTCTTTCCTCATTCCCTGCTACTTCATTTTCGTTGTTTGCCATGCAGGACCGATACCGGAAGAGCTAGGGAAGCTTACTGCGCTAGAGACGCTTGATCTGGAAAGGAACAACCTCTCAGGTGAGAATTTGAACTCGGTGGAAGCAACATGCATGAATCCCGCGTATGCCTACGCGTCCACTCAAGTTGTAGGACCGATATTCTAGAAAGCGGGGGCTTTGTTTTTTTTGTCCCGCTAAGCTTTCCGTTCCCCCCGTCCGCTTGCAGGCCACATCCCGCCTGAGCTAGGGGCTCTCAGCAAGCTGCGGGTCCTGTGGCTCTCCAGCAACAAGCTTACAGGTACATTCCAATTAAATATTTATGTTGGACTTCTCATTATGATCTGCTGTCGATGAATCCCGCGGATGCCTACGCGTCCACGAAACTTTTGAACGGAAAGCGCGGGGATTTTTCTTTAGTTGGCGGGACGGATCTTCTAGAAAGCGGGAGGTATCTTTTGCTTTTATCCCGTTAAACTGCCCTGCTTTGACTCGTTCATCTACAGGCCACATCCCGCGGCAGCTAGGAGATCTTGGCGCCCTCGAGACCCTCAACCTCGGATACAACAAGCTAGAGGGTGAGTTGAGTAGATAAAAAAAAACATTTGTTCTTGCGACTTCTGCACTTCCAGAACATCGGTCCCGCCTACGTACTTGGCGGCGTCAAAGTTATCCCGCTAGTTCTGAAGTTTCGTGGACGCGTATGCATACGCGTCCATTCACGCAGTACGCGGGGTTCATGCAGGCAAAACTCGCAAGCAAACGAAAACTCTTTTCGATCTGTTCAACTCACCATCTAGCTTGTTGCGCGAGAGGGAGAGGTAATGGAGGNAACATCGGTCCCGCCTACGTACTTGGCGGCATAAAAGTTATCCCGCTAGATCTGAAGCGTTGGCGTCCATTCACGCAGTACGCGGGGTTCATGCAGGCAAAACTCTTTTCGATCTGTTCAACTCACCATCTAGCTTGTTGCGCGAGAGGGAGAGGTNTGCCTCACCGGATAGCTGGTTGTGCCACAGTCGGAGCTTCACCAGCGCTGTTAGCTTGCCCAGCTCCGGCGGGATAGGCCCTGCGAACAGACAAGCAAAACAAATACTCCATTATTTGGGGGGGGACTACCAAGAAGTTTTATGTTCGATCTATGGACGCGGACGCATACGCGTCCAGGAAACTTTTGTACGGAAAGCACGGGGATTATNTGCAAAAAAAGTTATCCCGCGAGTTCTCAAGTTTCGTGGACGCGTAGGCATACGCGGATNCCAGCTAACCGGTGAGTTTGTTCAGCAGTTCATGTTTGAAGCATGAATCTCGCGCACGCCTACGCGTCCATTCACGCAGTACGCGGGGTTCATGCAGGCAAAACTCGCAAGCAAACGAAAACTCTTTTCGATCTGTTCAACTCACCATCTAGCTTGTTGCGCGAGAGGGAGAGGTGCTGGAGGGCGCCAAGCTGTCCGAGCTGCGGCGGGANCAGGCCACATCCCGCCTGAGCTAGGGGCTCTCAGCAAGCTGCGGGTCCTGGGGCTCTCCAGCAACAAGCTTACAGGTACATTCCAATTAGATATTTATGTTGGACTTCTCATTATGATCTGCTGTCGATGAATCCCGCGGATGCCTACGCGTCCACTCAAGTTGTGGGACCGATATTCTAGAAAGCGGGGGCTTTGTTTTTTTTGTCCCGCTAAGCTTTCCGTTCCCCCCGTCCGCTTGCAGGCCACATCCCGCCTGAGCTAGGGGCTCTCAGCAAGCTGGGGGTCCTGTGGCTCTCCAGCAACGAGCTTACAGGTACATTCCAATTAATATTTATGTTGGACTTCTCATTATGATCTGCTGTCGATGAATCCCGCGGATGCCTACGCGTCCACGAAACTTCAGAACTAGCGGGATAACTTTGATGACGCTAATGACGTAGGAGCGTACGAAATTTCACAGTATTGGAACTCGCGGGACATCTTTTTCCACGCACTTTTTTTCTAGAACTGTCCGTACTGATATTTCTCGCTACTGCATTCTTGTACAGGACCCATCCCCAAGGAGCTGGGAGCACTTCGTGGGCTGGAGAAGCTTTGGCTCCACGGCAACAACCTTACAGGTGAGACAATCGAAGAAGAGTTGAATTTTTCACTTGTTCACGAAATAAGAATCCTGCTGTACGCGTCCATGCGCGTTTCTACTTAAGCCAATAGAAATTGAAATCGTACTTTCGTCATTTCTCACCTGTAAGACGGTTGCTGTACAGATGAAGCTGCCTCAGCTTCGTAAGGTCTCCCAACTCCTTCGGTATAGAACCTGCGGGAGCCAGCAGCGCACAGACTTCAAAATTCAGATTTCAACAGAAACGTGTATGGACGCGGACGCGTGCGCGGGATTCGTGCTTCAGACATGAACTGCTGAACAAACTCATCGGTTAGCTGGTTATCCGAGAGGTTGAGGGTAACCAGTGCGGCGAGCTTTCCAAGCTCCCTCGGGATGGAACCTGCAATCGGAAGAGAGAGTAGCGGGAGAAATAAGTTTGAATGCCCCGGCTGTCGAGAACACACGCGTAGCAAAAGATTTCCCGCGAGTTTCCTGCGAGTTCCCAAATTGCGAAGTTTCGTACCCGCCTACCAGGTGGGCGGGTACGAAATTTCGCAATTTGGGAACTCGCGGGACATCTTTTGGTACGCACCAAACGACTCTTGCCGTCCCCCATATACCAAATACCATGCAGGCAAAATCCCGGCGGAGCTAGGACAGCTCGTCAAGCTGAAAGAGCTCAACCTCGACCAAAACAAACTGAGCGGTAAGTGTTTCCGATATGTTCGGCTTGCACACGTCACGCCGGATTGCTTGAATCTCGCCTATGCCTACGCGTCCACGAAACTTCAGAACTATCGGGATAACTTTTATGCCGCCAAGTACGTAGGCGGGACCGATGTTCTGGAAGTGCAGAAGTCGCAAGAACAAATGTTTTTTTTTATCTACTCAACTCACCCTCTAGCTTGTTGAATCCGAGGTCGAGGGTCTTGAGGGCGCCAAGATCTCCTAACTGCCGCGGGATGTGGCCTGTAGATGAACGAGTCAAAGCAGGGCAGCTTAACGGGATAAAAGCAAAAGATACCTCCCGCTTTCTAGAAGATCCGTCCCGCCATCTAAAGAAAAATCCCCGCGCTTTCCGTACAAAAGTTTCGTGGACGCGTAGGCGTTGGCAGGACACATCTTCAAATGCAGTCGACCTCGCTTTAGAGACACACCATGTTTTCCCCCCAAAAAGGTGTCTTTAACGCGGGAAGTGTCTTTAAAATTCCGGGGCCACTAACGCACCATCCCCGGGGCCAATGAAGGCGAAACATATGTCAAGAGGTGCGCATTCGCAGCAGAAAAGGCGACTACACGAGGTGTTGTTTGAAACCTACGACACAAGGTGATTTGAAGGTCGCGACCACTGTTGCTATTGTGCTGCAATACATACATGCATACCATCGTTTGAATTTCCCCGTACTGCTGTACCACCAAAACGCTGAAAGCGATGGTGTTCTACGACCTACGCATCGTACATGTACACGACGGTAGTTGTTGATGTTGTTGTTGTTGTTGTTGTTGTTGTTGTTGTTTTTGTTGATATGGGCCTAATACACGACGGTAGTGCGCTGGTGTTGATATGGGCTCAATTATTTGCTTTGCCCAAGATCTCGCTACCGCACCTGAGAAATATTGAAGGCTGTAAAACGACACTAGGATAATGTAGGTTACGCAGAAACACAGAGACCAAAAATGTCGGGAAAGCACAGCGACAAAGAGGACACTGCGCTTCCCAAGAGGTCAAAACGAGGCACAACACACACAAACGCCAAATTCCACCTCACGAGACTTCACCCAAGGCAAACAACGAACGTTGGCAATAAAAGTGCTTTGCTCTCGAAACCAAAAACTACACCCGCCACATATCCCGAAGAGTCGCCTGCACCGCCCCCCCCTCCTTTGCTCTTCGCTTGACCTGAGTTTCATGGGTAAACGAATGCACAGTCTTCGAAGAAGGTACGCCGTTTCGCTGTACTCGCCGTCTCTTCCATGTGTGAACAAGTAAAGTAAGAGCGGACATCTTCGAGACGAGAGCGAACCTCGCCCTCTGAAATCGTAGATTTATGCACGACTGGCCTACCGTGATCACCTTTCTCTTCACTGGACACGTCCTCCTCGACGTGTACGTTTGACATGTTCTCTGTTACCTCTTCCATCTCGAGTTCTACCTCATTCCTCAAGACCTCCTCATCGTCCTCTACACTGAGCCAAGTGCGCATTGCGCTGCGCACTTCTTCTGTGAGGCCAGAGGCGCTCTCGACGAACAAGTTGTCCGTCAACACTCGCGGCTTAGACCTATTATAGCGTCCAGGTCCTTGGCACTCTCTGCTGTCCGTGGCCTTCCTCTCCGATGCCCCGACCACAAAACGCGTGCATGGGTCGCCCGCACGGACACTGATTAACCAGTGACACCAGCGCAGATTTGAAGTGGCACGTCGGTTCGCCGCATGGCTTCAAGCCGGCAGCAGACGAACCGCTAGCAGATGGAGTGAATCTTTCCATACACACACACGCAGTGTGCGGCTGCAGCAGACCACTGTTGATGATCCAGGATCTACAGGTGCTGCAGCACATTTTATGGGGTGGTTCGAATGGTGGAAAACCCTACCCCCCGTACTATTTCACATCTGCGGGGCACCATGTTTCTGAGATTTTTTGTGTCCTCAAAGCGGGGAGTGTCATTAAAAATGGTGTCTTTAAAGTGGGAACGACTGTACGGCAACATGGCAAAAAAAATTTGAATTGTGTGATACTGGCCCTAGAAACTCACCGCTCAGCTGATTCTCGCTGAGCAACAGCCATTGCAGGGCCGTGAGCATTCCCAGCACCTGCGGGATAGTGCCTGCCGGACGAAAAAATAATGAGAGTGTCACGTGTTTAGGATTACAAAAAAATGGTCCTGCCAAGACGTTGGTAGGACCGTCTTTCTAGACGCCGGGGGATTAATTTTGTTTTCCCGCGCCAATTTCTTATTTTCCCTCCGTCTGGCAGGCAACATCCCGCCAGGGCTAGGAGATCTCCGACAGCTGCTGGTCGGCTTAATCATTTTTCTAGCATTGATCCATTATGGATCAATGCTAGAAAAATAACGAAGCCGACCATCAATAATCATGCACAGACTCCCGCAAAATCGATCGGGAAAGTGCTATAAAATACCGTGTTGACTCACCGCTCAGTTGGTTGCCGGAAAGGTTAAGCCCCTGCAGTGCTGAAAGGTGCCCCAGCTCGGATGGGATGGGGCCTGTAAGCAGGAGTGTGATAGAAATCAAAGGGAATTTAAGATAACATTACACCGCGCCTCTATTTTCAAGACAACTGATCTCCATAGATCTTGTCCCGCCTATAGTCTGTCCGGTTAAATTTTGCCACAACGTGACCCCCACTTTTTCTCGCTCATTTTTAGGAATTGAATCGTGAAACAAAGTTGGCAAGAACCGCACGGTCGAGAAGCATCAAAATCCGGGGTCAAAAAAAAAAATCCGTGTATTTGGCCACTTTTTGGCGAATTTGACCCCCCCATGATCCCACGGGGCCCCCAATAACCCCCACGGGACTCCATTCTCCCCGAAACTGCCTCGAAACGCCGACATACTAGCAGTTATTGAATGTGATAATATTTTATATTGATCGTGACAACAGCTCCCCAAGATATGCTTGTCATAATGATAGCACCCTAACGTGAGATATCTAGATACATTAGGTCGTTAACAAACACGCACACACACAAGGCCACCCTGTAGGCGGTCATCTTTGCCTGGGTGTTCGATCATCGGCCAACAATATCGCGGCGGCTGGTGCTGCTGCGCTCAAACTCAGGTGGCAGCGAGTTTTGTCGCCATGAACCTCTTCAGCATTTTGTCGGCAGCCTCGTTAGAAACCTTCCTGGCCTCCTGCGCCGCGGCAAGGGCGGCCGACTCTTTGGCCTTGCGCTGCTCAGGAGTTGTCGCTTGGTCTCTTGGGGTGCCCGGTGCTGCTNACTTCAGGTCCCGGGTTTGCAAGTAGCCCTGAAGCCCGTTGCTATAGGCGCGCTTCCTTTTTGGAGGACGCCCGGCACCACGACGCCCGGACATGTGTAGACTTGTGTGGGCCCTCTTGGGGTGCCCGGTGCTGCTGTATGGTGTGGGTTATGGTGTTTCGTGTGTGGCTTTGTGTGTGTGTCAGCAGCACCAAACTTTGAGCGGCCATATTTCGCTCAAACGATTTTTTTTTGGAAAAAAAAAAAAAAACGTCCCTAGGTGCAGGTCCAATTCGCCCGAATCCGTTGAGTTTTTGGACATCGTATGGTTCAATACTCCCCAAGAAACTAAACTCTGAGGGCACCTGAAATGCGGTTTTCTGCCCATATCTCCGTTGTTTATTAGCGAAAATAAAGCTGAGTTGTGTCGCCGTGAGCCCCTGGGCGTGATACGTTCAAAACCGGTCTAAAAAAAAAAAATATGACCTCACACTCGACCAAATAAAACTAACCAAAATCGTCCAAAATCTCCACGGAATCGTGATTTTCTCGCCAAAAAAAAAAAAAAAATCTGCTCCATCCAAACGATCCGCCGGAAACAGAGCTTTCTTACGATATAAAGTATGTCACTAGGGGTACGTCAGTCACTCAAAACAATTCCCAAGGTGATTTCAGGAGATGGTGGCAAAATTTAACCGGAGACGGACTCTACTAGTAGGCGGGTACGAAATTTCAGAACTCGCAGGATAACTTTTCTGTACCGTGCCCAACTGCCCTGCGTTGACTCCCTCGTCTACAGGCCATATCCCGCCGCAGCTAGGAAATCTTGGTGCCCTCAGGCACCTCTACCTCGAAAACAAAATAGATGGTGAGCTAAACAATTCGAAATGCATTTTATTTTCCTTCGAGTTCTGAACATGCATGAATCCCGCGTATGCGTGCGCGGGATTCATTCTTCGGACATGAACTGCTGAACAAACTCACCGGTTAGCTGGTTCTCCGAGAGGCTGAGGTACTGCAGTGCGGCGAGCTCCCCAAGCTGCGGCGGGATGGAACCTGCAATCGGAAGAGAGGGCAGCGGGAGAAAACAAATTTGAATTCCCCGGCTTTCGAGAACACACGCGTAGCAAAAGATACCCCGCGATTTCGCAAATTGCGAAATTTAGTACTCACCCACGCATAGGCGGGACTAAAGCAATTCGGTGTGACGTGTGCACGCCGAACATATCGGAGACACTTACCGCTGAGTTTGTTTCTGTAGAGGCCGAGCGTTTCCAGCTTGACGAGCTGTCCTAGCGACGCCGGGATTTCGCCTGCATGGTATTTGATATTTGGGGGATGGCAAGAGTCGTAAGGGAGTGTTGGGCTTTGATTCTGGATGAACCTCGCCGATGTAACTGGTGAGTAATTTTGGTAAGATATGTTGGTCAAGTGTCAGGATGAAACCCGCGGATGCATAGGTGGGATTCAAGCAATCCGGCGTGACGTGTGCACGCCGAACATGTCGGAGACACTTACCGCTGAGTTTGTTTTGGTCGAGGTTGAGCTCTTTCAGCTTGACGAGCTGTCCTAGCTCCGCCGGGATTTTGCCTGCATGGTATTTGGTATATGGGGGGCGGCAAGAGTCGTTTGGTGCGTACCAAAAGATGTCCCGCGAGTTCCCAAAGTACGAAATTTGACAATTGCGCACCTCGCGGGAAATCTTTTGCTACGCGTCCGATGTTCTAGAATCGAAGACACCGCACCGCAACTCTTACTACTCCGATACCTACGCAGGTGCGATCCCCGCACAGCTCGGCGCTCTCAACAATGTAGCGTGGCACGTTCCGTCATACAACCAGCCCGGCGGTGAGAGAGAAGTTGAAATTTGAATCCTTTCTTTTTTGTAATTCTGCAACATATGCATGTATCCTGGCCATGCGTAGGCAAGTACGAAATTTCAGAACTCGCTCTACCTAATTTCCCCTGCTATGTCTGTTGTAGGACTCATTCCCAAGCGCACGCGACATCAATGCCGTGTACACGAGCACAACGATAGAGTGCGCACGTACACGGGACAGGGAAGGAGCCAGAAGTACCGAAACTAAGCGAGGGAGGGCGGGGGGCACAGCCCAAAAGCGTACGCCGATCCTCTTTGAGAACATGACTGCAGCCGAGGAGAGCAGGACGGACATGGCAGAACGTGTAGCAAGATATGTGCCGGACTGATTGTGATGGAGATCGAAACACCCGCTCCCTTTAATATTTTTTGTTTCATCACCATGTGCCATTTGTAGACCAACTCCTCGGCGAGATCGAGAACATTGTAAGACAGTAGCGCTTGTCCATGGAGGAGTAAGGAGTAAGGGCTAGCGTTGCTCACCTTGGAGGTTATTCTCTCTCAAGCGCAGACCCACCACGCGCTCATCGGCGTTGACTTCGACCCCGCACCATGTGGAAAGCTCGGCAGCCATGTTCCAGTTTTTGTTTCTATTCCAACTAGCCCCGGCAGTCGAGCGAAATAAGGCCATCAGCGCCTCGCGATCCGCAGAACAGAGACCCGCGGGAGAAACGGGAACCTGCACGGAGCGCGAGCAACAACGAAACGCTTGAGACAACCGATGAACAACTTCTATTTATATATCGCTGCACACAGCAATCGAAGCGTGAGTCGAGAGTACGCAATGGTTTGGAAACGATTCCGACATCATCAAGATGTTACTGTCTTGGCGAGGCAGAAGCTTAAAACATCGTCAAGATCAGACCCAAAGGAAACATGAATCGTTTCAAAGACCCTACAAGCTCTCCCACGAGAGAAAACAATTAAGGAGTAGTCGCGCTGCCGAAAATTATGCACGTAGCACGACCAGTGATCAATGTCTTCAGCGAACCGCGTGAAGAATATGTTTGTGGGCCTCCAACGCGGCATCACGTACATCGGAGCACTAAACTCACGTCTTTTCCGCAACACCTACAAGACGACCGCTTGACGGAATAACTCCTAGCGCCTAGGGATAAGGTTCCACAGCGACACCCGGCGGTCATGCCCGCTATCTGCGAGGGCCCCGTTATCATATCTCAGGATGTACCATAAACCAACTCCTTCTAAAGTGCACCAACAGCTTAATCAAGACTGCTTTCGATTCGCAATCTCTCGTACAAGCGCCTGCCAGAGCGTCTGTTCAGCTAGGACGGTTTTGTTTTTTCTTGCCCCGTGCCGTCAGCCGGGATGTCGACACCTCCAAGGGCTTCCCCACTCGTTCTGTTCACACATACCTTCAACCACACATCGTGCCCCACACCCGACTTGGTGCCAGCCCTCGGTACGTTTCCTGCATTTTCCCACTGAGCCGGGCGCTTCCCCGCCGCTGTCGCTGACTTCGGTTGAAAGCACGCTGTCGTTCCGGACGGAGGTCCACCCGCACGTGGAGCGGTCGGTAGCTTGTCGCCTGGACGGGCCTGCACCAGACCACACACAGCATTGGAGTGGGTTAGTTTATCAGGACATGTTTGTTTTCATAATCCTCTGAAAAACCGCTTGCGCCTACCACAAGTGATGGACAGAGCAGGACAACATACAGCACTTGTACACAACAGCAGACCCTTGCGAAAGCAACGAGGTCATGTTGCTCATCACGACGACGACAACATCGTCATTTTCCCGACAAATAGGAGGCAACTACGTGTACGCTATTTTCCAGTTGTTGTTTCGCTGGTCTCCTTCGTGGTATCGAAGTGCTCGGTTCTTTTCAGGTTTGGTCTCAGAACGAGATGTTCGACGTGCACCACTAGCTAGACACCTTTTTTTCGCGTTTTCTTCAAACAGACCTATGCAAGGCGCGTGTGGCTTTCACTCCATGGAACATGGTTTGGGCAATGGTCCGTATCGAAAACGGTCAATCCGCAAACTCCCCTCTTACTGCCTCCTTCTACAATGGGCAAAATCTCTTGCGCTGCCCCGACATCACATGGCCAACTTGGCTCACGCGCTCAAACGCTTGGGGACACTTGGGCATCATATACACCGTGGCGAACGCCTTATCTAGAGGTCTAGAAGACTTTGAACCTCTCGTGAGGCATCATCTCCGGCATCTCTTATTACATCTCTGCAAGAAAAATGCTCTGTTTGGTTAGAACTGGACTATGACCAGAGAAAAACGGATGCGAAAGAGGGCATAAAATTGTTCGGCGCATACAACCTGCAGGACTGCTGGTAGTTGTGCAGTGGACTGCCTCCGATCATAGTACCGGTTTTGGCCGCATGAAAAGAAGGCCGACACGTCTACACAGCTACTCATACGACACACGCCAGCTGAGGCACACGTACAGCACGTGGTAGAGGCATTCCAGCTCGTGTGTAGCTATGACCTATGCCAGTCACAAACTCGGGCGCAAGTGGTCTCTGGCGGCCACGCATTCCAGGAGGGTGCGGTGGGCGGCCTCCATGGCACGTGCGGAAACATGGCGGAGATACGCAAAAGACAACGACAACCATCGCATGTGTGGTGTTCCCTAGGCACAAGTAAACACGCCCAAACTGCCATGCGCAGAGAGGAAGCACCGGAACCCGTGCGAAACCATCAAAGATCCCGAAGACCACGTGGATGCATGAAACTGCGCCTCGCATACAGGTGCTTCTACAAAAAACATAGACGGTGGGAAAAAATCATGAGCAGACGGTGGACCTAAGAACGTCATTCTTTGGACAACAGTTTTCAATCGTCATGCCGGGGCAAGCTTGAACGGATAACCATTCGCTACTGCTACACCGACACTGATCTACAGCTCTCACCCTGTGACGGTTTAGCCCATGAAGGAACTCTCGCAAGAACTCTCGAAGCTCCATATCCGCCAGCCCAGGCAACAGCGCTTGTAACTCCACCATCGTTTGCGGGTCGGAATACAGAGAGTCCTCGCTCATGGTTCCTTGTCGTTTTACGAGAGCTCCGAGTTTTTCAACGATGTCTACTCCCTGTCGCATGTCCGGTTCCGAGGCAGCCACGATAGGAAGCCCTTTCTCAGCACGGGCGATTGCCTGAGTGAGGCCGAGAAAGTGCTCCGAGGAGAGCGATTTGTCTTGAGCAGCCTGCTCGAACATCTCCCCCGCTTTCCTTACTTCGTTCATGTCATGTGCCACTCCGGAACCTGTGCAAGGTCGAACCGTGAGGAGATTTCGCCAAACTTGAGAAAAGCGTATGGTTCCTTTTTGGTCCAAGGAGCATATTCACCCGGGTTGCAGTCCCCCCAAAAAAGTGCTTTTGACTTTTGCATTACGAGGCATCGATGATGCGGAGCCCCCCCAGCTGCCGCTTTCCTACGGGGACGAGCAGCAAGTCGTCCAAACGTCCGGCTGTAGTTGCGATCCTCAATTTGGCCAACCCTCAAAAGGCAACCTCAGCCAAGTCTTCACAGCGTGGCGCCATCACAAGCTTGGAAGGGATTGTTATTCGAAGGTGAATAGAGCGTTGAAGGAAAAAAATTGAGAGGATCTTTCGGAGAAATCCAAACAGAATCGGAGGGAGCTGCGACCCTCGAAGTGGCGATGCAAATTAGTGCCAACCGCTCCAAGTTACTGATGGCTACGGAATTCAATCTGGCGGAGTCTCTAGCGAGCTAGTCAACTCCTTCGAACGTGTAAAGCAGCGTGTAAAGTTCAGTACCGAGAGGTACAAAGAGGACCTGAATCAACGCCTCGTTCCGCTTTTCATAGCACGGCATTTGGCAAGCATAGAGCGAAACCAAGACGTAAAACACAACGTACTTGAGGTCTCCTGCCGATTTCATAGCAATAGGCAACACTAAATAGCAGCAACAAAAAGGAGTTGGTCAGACGGTGTCAAAGGGCAACAGTCACGCGGGGTACCATCGAGTTATACGGAACCCTTTCGTCATATCTATGTATATTTGGTTGCTTTCGTGGGGCCTGCAACTGGCAGCGATTTCACCACAGCCTGCGCCAAGCAGGTGACCGTCGCTCGTGCTGCTCCATATTGAAAATCGCCTACATTGTATAATAATTGTTCTGGCGCGTGCCCCCCCTGGACCACTTCGCCATAGGCAAACACAAATATCTCCTTAGAGCTCGATACACAGACAGGCGAAGACATGAAGCCACGGATTTGAGGCCCTTGACACCATGCCGTGTAATTGCCAACTTCTTGCTGATTTGGGCCAATTCGTCCAAGATACATTCGGAGGTAGACTGATTTCGTGCTGACTTAATGCAGGTGGACATCCAACAAATGCCAGCCCCGTCGGTACACATCTACCCTACGGCTGAAAGCCAGGCAAAATGGGACATGCTTTGATGGTGGAGAAGCTGCGTGGATATTGGGTCCCAAGGGCGCAAAAGAGACCCCCGAAGCAACCGCAAACGAACAACTTTCAGTTGAGATGCTACACATTTCTCGGGTTACACGCAAATTGGAGGCATGTACATCACTTGCGGACTCGTTGTCCTAAGTTTGCCTTGCTGATTTGGTGACAAGTCGAGGTCTGCGCCATCAAAACAGCGTCGGTGGCAAAGATCATTGCTCACAACGGGCTCGGGCAAAGCAATCGACCAACGCAACAGGGGGGCTGGAAAATCGTGCTGGGTGCACAGCTGCATGCGGGACCACCATATCTCCTTCCATTCTCTTACGTGGGGCAGTTTGAGTGCGGAGGGTTTGTGAAAAAACGCGACGGGGGGCACGAATGCGACAGAACATGAAATGATATGATGCATACCTGATCCCCTCGCGGTCATCTCGCTCGTACTGCCGTTTCCGCACGCCTGGAACAGGGACATTGGAAACAGTGCGTCGGTGGGTGCTCGATTGCTAGTTGTCGAAGTATGCGGCAAAGGAAGCTAACCTCACGTCATAATGTGGACCGGTGGTTTTCAGATGGAGGGCTTCGTCCGTCAGGGTCAAACACAATGGGTTCTGGCCCGTCAGTAGTCCATGCGGAAGCGGAAATCTGGCCTGAGCGAAAAGAAAAGAAATATATGTATCATACTAGATATGCGAAGGTTTGTACCATTGGGTGGCAGTCTGTGCTGATAACGAGGCTCACGGGGACTTTCAAGCAACCTCTGCACACGAACTTGGAGAGTATAGTGTACTTAAGGAGCGCCGTGCTACTTGAACAAACGATTTACACAACCTGGTGTCGTTGGATTGTGCAGCACTCATCAGTGCTCGGGGTGCGGCTTGTGTGAAGCTATGGGTGAAAAAAAGAGAAACTTCCTCGACTGCTTTTTTTGTCCGGCGCGAGGGGTGGCCGATGCAACCGACGTGCACGGGGCGTAGTAGGGGCATGGTTGAACAACCCCACGCTCGCCAACGATTTTTCCCGCGCCGCAATTGGTTTCCACTGAACCCACCGATCATTGTTTTGATTTGGTGAACCTCTTACTTGAAGTGGGGATGCGTCAAGGTCCCTGCTTTGCACTGATGAAATGAGTTACACACGGCGGTTGCTGCGCGCATCCTTAAATCAAAAAGGAAGATGCGGCTTCAAGAAATGACGCACTCCGTGTTTTTTGGTCGGATAGGCATCGAGACCGCGCTAAAGTATGCATAAGTAATCACAACAACGGACAGAGTGTACAGCAGCATGTGCGGTTTTGGTTTCCCTAGGTTACCTTTGTGTGACGTATGCGACGTGCGTTCAAATATCTGCAGTGACAACGAAGTTTGAATCCTCTCACAAAAACGTACCGTATCTTACTGCCCGGTGGAGAGAGAGGCACCGTTCATGCCATACAAGTGTGGCATATTCATACTTCCACCTCGCATCATTTTTTTTCTTCATCATGGCCGAGGACGAGAGGCAGCCAATGATTAAATAAAACGTAGAATACCACCGCCGAAGGAAAGCGGAGAGAAGCAAGAAATCTCCCTGGTGCAGGCCTCTTGGGCCCTGTTGTTGTGTGGTTGTGTAACCTTGGGCTTGTGCTTCCAGAACTTAATGTATACCGAAAGTCATCCAAGCCTGACGTCCAGACGACAGGGGGCGATGCACGCACACACGCACGGCGGGAGAAGCACTCGAAGGGAGGAGTCTTTTGCCTCCTCTGCGTGGGTAGGCGGAGGCGCGAACGTGGAGGGAGTGACCGCTTTGACCGAGCTTCGATTCATTAGCTGAGGTTCCGTATTTGTATGCGTACCATTCGAGTCCATTGACCCCCGAAACGACAACATAGTTGTATCCAGGGAGTATAGACGTTGAGAGTTGAGAACAGTTGGAACGCGACCCAGAAGAATCTCACGGACGTCCAACGCGCTGAAACTAAAATTTGGTGGCACAGGCCCCGACGGGTTCGACGAGGAGTCAAAATAGACGAGGAAATGAGGCCACATGGTAGTACGACGGGCAGATGTCGCGGCAGCAATGTGACGTCTTGGTATTGAGTTGCGTCCATGTACGTACCCTTTCCTTGCTAATAGTGTGTGTGTTCTGTAGATCTTCTGATGGCTCCAGCATTTTTGTGACCACGGACCGAGTCTTGGCTAGATTTTGGGATTAGCAACTGACACGAGTTTAACTTAAAGAAAAACAACAACATAAACAACAACAACAACAGTACTTCAGGAAGCACGCTCGCGTGATTTTATGCATCTCGCTCAAGAACCGACGTCTTCCTTACATGCTATGGACGTCGAGTGCTTCACCCCGCGGTATCGTCTGATGACTTTTGCAGTTCGGAGCTGAAGGATTGTCTTGCGTTCCGCGTTTTTTTTTTCTTTTTTTACTCGACACCAACCTCTTGCCGACATACCACGCCAAATCCCCTGCGAGCGTTTTCATGCCTCTGCTGGATAACGGCACCTTTCCCATTCAGGCAATTTGGACGTATCCCGCAGCAGGTTACAGAATATGCATGTGCTCAGATTTGTCCCGCAACAAGACTAAGCCTTTTGGAAGGATAAAATGGCAAACATGAAAGGTGGCGCTGAGCACTCTTTCTTGCAGCAGTCTTCGTCCAAGCCAACTTCACCAGAAGGGGCGCCGCAATCCACAGAAGTCGAAAGATGACGTCGGTGACAACGGATTCGAGGTAAACTCGGTAGGGAGAAAAAGAGGAGGTTTGAGGCCGTTCATATACACTGACGGCAAACATACTGCGGCCAAAAGAAATGACCCATCTTCTTGTCCTTCTACAGCAGGCAACCTGTACCATGCAACCGAGGTTCGTCTGCCGGGGTTGAGATATCGGTCAGCAAACAAAAAAGGCGGCGAGACAAGTTAAAACTTTGGCACCTGCCAATCAGCGGTCTCTTACGTTCGTGCCTCCTTTGCGTCTTGTACAAACAACAAATCCGAAACTTCGGCAAATCTGCCGTTGTCGGGGCACCGAAGTAAAGCCACCCCCATTGCAGCCGGGGCGTTGCAACCAGTGTAAACACATGCTCACAACAGCATGGGACCAGTAGTCCACTCTGGTGTGTTTATGACGTGTTGCAACTGCAAAATCTGTTGTCGACAGAACCGAGTGCAGCGCCTGGCAGAACAGAGAGGAGGCGAGGATCACAACCATGTTGAGCGAGTATCCACCCGCCGGGTCTGCGTGTGCTCCTTCGTCTCCATGTCTGTGTTCCGGCCAGACCTCGAGTAACGTGATGGTGCTTCGGCATCTTTGCATCTGCTCTTTTTGGCAATATCCTGCCTGCATTTCAGACGGCTTCTTTGTCGCACAACGAAATAAACAGGGTAGTCCTCGGGAAAATTCCCGAGGTTTATTTCCCGTCGTTTAGAATTCCGTGAACCGCCAAAAGTGGTACCGTCAACAAAACGAATTACCGTCAACCACCAAAGAAGTACCGTCATTTTGCAAAACCGCCGAAAAAGTACCGGCAAATTCGGCGGTACCGTCAACCGCCAAAAGTGGTACCGTCATATTGCGGTACCGTCAAAAAAATAACGTAAAAATAACGAAGTACCGTCAACCGCCAAAAAAGTAGCGTTATACTGCGATTCCGGAAAAAGATTCGAGAGGAGTCCGCCAGCATCATTTGCTTGTCATTTTTCTATTTGTTGACGTGTCGAGAGAGGAACTCGAGTTCAACTCCGGCGTCCTGTGTTTTTTTGTCTTTTTTTTTTATTTTTCTTACTTTGTTTGACTTCGTTTGGTTCTATCGAGCTGGTTTGTTGCTTTTCGGTACAACCTGTTTTCTGCTTTGTGGCCTTTGGCGTTGATGGTTGCAAGACCGCGGCCTGCAGCCACACACGCACACACGCCGTCCCAGGGTGCGTGCGGTCCAGCAGAACCAGAAAGATGGCAGCTGTACAGGGGAAGTCCGGCAGTACTAACAGCAGTAGTGTCGAGGGTGCTGGTGCTGCTGGCGATTCGTTGGGTGGGAACGCAAGTGAACCGGTCGCATCGATCTGTCCGTCTGTTTTCTTTTCGTGTTGCATGTTTCCGCGTGGCTGCTCAGTTTTTCAGTTTCTCAATTAGACGATCTGATCATATCTCGATGGCGTGGTCTTTGAAGGAAATACCGTCAACCGCCAAAAGCACCGTCATTACCGTCATTTTGCAGTACCGCCAAACAGGTACCGTCAAATAACGGAGTAACGTCAACCGCCAAAAGTGGTACCGTCATATTGCGATACCGTCAAAAAAGTACCGTAAAAAAAACGAAGTACCGCCAACCGTAAAACAATTACCGTCATTTTGCAAAATCGTCGAAAAGGTACCGGCAAATTCGGCGGTACCGTCAACCGCCAAAAGTGGTACCGTCATATTGCGATACCGTCAAAAAAGTACCGTAAAAAAAACGAAGTACCGCCAACCGTAAAACAATTACCGTCATTTTGCAAAATCGTCGAAAAGGTACCGGCAAATTCGGCGGTACCGTCAACCGCCAAAAGCACCGTCATTACCGTCATTTTGCAGTACCGCCAAACAGGTACCGTCAAATAACGGAGTAACGTCAACCGCCAAAAGTGGTACCGTCATATTGCGATACCGTCAAAAAAGTACCGTAAAAAAAACGAAGTACCGCCAACCGTAAAACAATTACCGTCATTTTGCAAAATCGTCGAAAAGGTACCGGCAAATTCGGCGGTACCGTCAACCGCCAAAAGTGGTACCGTCATATTGCGGTACCGTCAAAAAAACGAGGTACCGCCAACCGTAAAAAAAGCACCGTCATTTTGCAAAATCGCCGACAAAGTACCAGCAAATTCGGCGGTACCGTCAACCGCCAAAAGTGGTACCGTCGAAAAACGAAGTACCGTCAAACCGCCAAAAAACTACCGTCACTTTGCAAACCGTCCCGTTGTGTGTCCGTAAAAAAAACTGGTACCGAGGACTACCCTGGGGAAATAAATATTTCCTCCAAGTCTCCATCCTGTTGCGATGGAGATCGCATGTTTATCTGAGCAGCAAATCTGCACCGCCGGTTGAGTGCTCATTGTTCTGCTGGACCACGCTGGGCATGGGGCAGGCGTGTGGTTGGTGCGCCCTCGTCCACTCAAACGAGAAAGGGTTTCCTCCTCCGGAGCATAAACTGTTCGTAGCGCTCCGAAATAGCACTGAGGCGTGCAAAATATTGAGTACGAGCAGGAACCCGAAATAGCTAGAATCCAAGACCGCTTGAATTGAGACAGCTTGCTGTTTACCCATTTTGAAATGAAGCATTGCGACCAAACTACGGCAGTCATGTGTGACAAAGGCCTTGTTTACGGCAGCCCGGGATTCTCCCGCCAAAACGGGTCTCATGCTGACGGTGGTTTCTTGATTCCACGCATGGGCGGCCCATGGACACCCGATGGGCACCCGATGGGCACCGAAATGCCCAC